AGACCATGAGTTACGAGGTTTGCATATACTTGAAAACAGTCACTTTGTCTTGGATTGGGACTATCATAAAAAATTAATAAAGTAATGTGTTCCACAGAGGAATGCATATACCGTATTTTGAAACTAATCAATTTTGGTTTCTTTTTGGCTAAAATCAAATACACCAATGTAAAATTTAATAGCAAAAATAGATACTTTATGGTAAGGAAAGAATATAAGAACACGAAAAAAATTAAACAAAAATATTGTAAATTATCTAGAAAACGATTCAAAAAGGCTACACGAAACAGAATGCATTCTAAAAAACATTTTGAAGAACTTAATTTTCAAGTGAGCTAATATTAATATTTTTATATATGCATTAATACTAACTGTACATAATGCTTAATATTATTCTTATTTTTAGGACAGTGAAGAATCTGAAGAATTAATCAAACATATGGGAAAGTTGTGGTTGAAATCTCAGGTTATATGCTTATTAGAAAATTATAATAATGTAGTACTTGTTTCTCAAATTTTTATATTCACATAAGAAAAATGTTTGAGGACAAAAAAAATTATTTAATTTAGTAATATCGTAGTTGTATTACATGTACTTTAAGCTTGTTCAAACAAAGTTAAGATTATCTTATCATTTTTAGGTGAAAGATTTAGAAATTAACCCACCTATTCCAAAGAAACCACCAGTTCCTAAAGTTAGGAAAAATACAAAGCCACCAAAAAATAGTAAAAATAAAGCCATCACTCCATATATTGTGATTGATTCAAAATGCCTGACTCAGCATTCTCATAAAGTTAGACAGATTGTAATGAGCAAGCTGAGCATTGTGATTATACCTAAAATTGGTGAGTAAAATTTGAATCATTGTCATCACTATTGATTTCAAAACTTTGAAAGCCATTTGATGTATCTCGATGAGGACTAGTGTTTATCAATTTTGCGCGACGATCAGCCAAGCTGTTTTTTTGTAAATAGCAGAAAAGTGAAAAATTTTTCGTCCACGTTTTAGCTCGCAGTTCTGAATCGATTTTGGATAATCAAAATCTGTTCGAAAGATATTGGTTGCGAATCGACCTGATTCATTTTTGGTAAAAATCGGCCGGGCCGTTTTCTTGTAATAAAGCGTTAAAAAAATTTTTTTTGACGATTTTTGATTTTTTTTTTTTTTGACGGTAGGTATTATAGTCTTCTAGATCATACCAAAATATTGCAGCCCTACAACTCGTTTAGTTTTAAAAATTCTTGAAAGTTTACAGAAATTAGTATCGTTTTTTTGGCGTTTGACAAAATGAGACCTTTCACCGACATTTTCTCAAAAACGCCTGGACCGATTTCAGCAATTTAAAATATTGTATTTGATGTATTTCGATGAGGACTATTGTCAGTTTTGTGCGACGATATGCCAAGCCCTTTTCTTTGTAATTTGGCAAAAAGTGTTAAACTGTCCGGCCGCATTTAATTATATATGTTCATACTACCGAATCGATTTAAAACTAGCTGTAAGTGGAATTCTGTCTTAAGGCAATTAGGGCATCGTGCCTTAAGGCAAATTGCTGGAACTTCCCGTACCAAAAATTATTATTTTTTTAAAAATGATTAACATTTTTGAAAAAAAATTACTTCGAAAAAATAAGATTTTTGAGAAACTATAAATTTGACAAAAAAATTACTTTGGTTTGAAAAAAAAAATTGAAAAAAATATTTTTATTTTGACATATGTTGGAAGATCTGAACTTTTTTCAAAGCAATCGTACTGCTTTAACTGCATAGAGATAAATATAAAGCGCGTAAGCGCCGCGTCGCTGCCTAACGGGTAAACATTGGTACGGAACCCACAAAAATGTAAACAAAATTTATACTTATTGTTAAAATCTCTATAAAATATCTGATAATTTGATGCGCATATGTCTAATGATCATTTTTGACCGTCAAATGGCATTTTTTTTTACTTTTTTTGTTATATCTCCGAAACCGCTAGACCTGCGCTTATGAAAATTTGATCAATTATTCATCTTGTCAATACAAGTAAAATGTTTTTTGAAATATTAAAATCGGACGCTTCGTTCTCATAAAAACTGAGTTACCGTTTTTGGCACTTTTTGCCCCATATCTTCGTAACGGCTAGACCTACCTCCGCCAAAAACTAATCAGCACGTCTCCTTATCAATACGGATCGAATGTTTTTTAAATTATTCAAATTGCTTCATTCGTGTTCCCGAAATCGTCGACGAAAATTTGTATCCGCACACACATACATACCGCACACACACATACATCCATTTTTTTTCTAAGGTATGCCAAAATATTCAGATACCTCTGAAACGTAAAGATATATAAAAATTTTCATTTTCGATTTTTTTGCGATTACTATAACTGACCCTACGGGAAGTTAAAAATCAAAAACTGTTCGAAAGATATTGGTTGGGAATGATACTGATTAGTTTTAGGTGAAAATGAACCGAGCCGTTTTCTTGTAATTAACTGTTTAAAAAAAATTTAAGCTGATATTCATGGAACTTTTTTTGGTGATATATATTATGGTCTTACTGAAATTAAGGAATCAGGAATCAGGAAGTTCACGTACACCTCAAGGCAAAATACCAATACCAAATAGTTTCATAATATTATTTAGTACTTACAAAACTTCCTTTTCAACGTTAATTATTTTTTAGTTATGAACTCACTTGACATGCTAAAATTTGAATCCAATCCTGCGCGAGACTCTATTCGCTGGCTTGAGGGGCAACTTTTGAAGGGCAACCGCCACTTGCGTGGTCAAAGAAATAAAGAACAACTTCCTCTTCACAGGATAACTATTCCTAAAAAGATGGAAAAAGATACCCAAGACTATTTGCAGATGTTGGAGCTTTGTAATTATCTAGCAACCCATGGTGAAGAGGGCACTGACTGCAACGGTTACTCTGTCACATTCCTTACAGGGCCAGATTTGTCTGATTTTAGCAGCAGGGATTTTAGTTTAACAGGTCTTGCTAAATCGGCTAATATTAATGTTGAAAAAATTGCTGTATTTTATGCCAAATGTAGACATATATTGGCAGAAATACCTAGATGATTGCAGCACCAAGTGTTACTACTTTATTCATTTGTTAAGCATTATATGTTAAAGTTTGTTTGATATTCAATCTGGGGATTCTAGGAACTGCTTAATTGCCATGTTTGCACTTGTTGGATGCCTTTGGTAATAGTGAAGCCAAAAAATTGTCATAGACATGAAAATTAATTAAAAGAAAAGGAATATGAAATACCAATGGTTTATTTCTATATGAATTATTTGTATCATTTTCTGTTAACTGTGAATTCTGTGACATCTAAGATGTTAAAAGTTAATATCATTAAAGGATTTTTTGTGATGTTTAGAATTTATGAAACGAAGAAAATATATTATATCTATATTATTTACTTGGCTTATTTTTAAATTTATTCACATTTTCATTATTCATGAATTGTTTGTGCTCACAAATAGCACCAGTGATTTAATAAAAAAATATTTTTTCTCGAAGAATATTAATGGAGTTTTTGAAAAAAACATAATTCTTTGTGTGAATAATTATAACAACTTAACAACTATCCTTTTGTCAGTAATATTTAAAGCAAGGTTTTTCAATACAATATCATTACATAATTGTTTAAATAAATAATGCAATTATGACACTAATAACTGCAATAATAAAAAATAATATCAAGAAAAATTGTATTGACATATTAAAACAATTTTTCTTATTATTAAATTTAATGCTAGATCAAAAGCTTTTTTTCTACACTTTATTAAAATTATTTCTAAGGTTAATTGTGGTTTCATATTTACATGAGATAGAATTTCATTCTGGACTTTCATTCATACCTAACAATAAATCTATAATTAAAATTAACCTATAATGTTAAATTCGCATTGGTTTACTTACAATTAGAAGTATATACTTACAATTAAGTAGATATAAAATGAACATGACTCGTTAAGGTACATTTTTAGATGAGTATTATGCAAATAGAAAAAATCATGTTCATAAAACAGATACACTAAAAAACAACTAACAAGTGAAACGGACCAGTTTGAACCAGAACGATATTATAGTGGTTCAGAGTCCAGACAAAAGTGAATCAGAACTACGTTATAGTGGTTCAGAGACCAGACAAAAGTGAATCAGAACCACGTTATAGTGTTTTACGTGGCCACGTGATGAGTTAGAAAATGAAAAATCGGATTTTTTCGAGAAGACGTATAAATCATTCAAATAGCTAAGTGACCGATTTTCTACTGAAACACGCCCCCATGAAGTTCTTTAATCTGATCCAAAGTAGTATTTTGATATATTCTTTCAAATGGCAATTAATAGAGAGCAATTAATATCTTAAATATATTTTACAGTTTTTCAATAAAAAATAAGAACTTGTTAAATCTAGAAAGAAATCAAGGAATATGAATAAATATGAGGTGTCGCCAATATATAAGTATCAAAAATATTTGGTCTACAAAACAAATAAACTTCTTTTTTTTTGAATTATGCTTTTGACTATTCATCGTTTAGCGTCTCTAATTCTAATTGGGTCAAAAAGAAAGAACTACTTTCCGAATAACAATAATGTTTTCTTTGGTTAATAATATATAGTTGATATTACTATTTGGATGCTTTTACGATATTTGAATTTTAATTGTGGTTTTAGTATTTACAAATGGTAAACTGAACTAATTATCTTATTTTTTTTGATGATAATCAATAACACACACATTTTATCGTCTAAATTCTTGCCTTATCTTATTGCCTAAAATTAGAATATTTTTACAAGATCTAATAATAAAACTATTGCGTTTTAACTCTTTCGATTCGGATGCCACCGCTCCGGCGACAAAATTCATATAAATCTCGCAATTCGCGAGTAGAAAGAGTTAAAAATATTTACATTGGTATTACATCTACGATTCTGTTATTTCATGCACAACACACATACACCTTTACAAAGTAAAAATCTCTAGATTTTTTTATTGATGATTATCTTCTCTAGCAACCGGTTTGAAATCTTTATGTGTCGGTCTGGCTCTTCGTTCGGCGGTTCTTTCCATAATTTCTATAGCAGTATAACAACCTGCCCCAAGGGTCATCAAACAAATAAGTGCCCTTAATTTTGCGGAAACGCCAAATAATGGACTGCAAATGAAGGCTATCACCGATCCTGTGGATTCCCAAAGACGGAAATTACTGTATGAAGCTTCTTCACGGCCAGGGAATAAAACGCCGCTCAGACCTGGAGGAAAATATACAAAAAGTACAAATTAATTAGAAGTTGAATGAAATAATTATTTTTTATTATAAACAATTTTATGACTTTTTGTGGATTATAATAAAAAAAAGTCAACGATACGTGGTGTTCCCAAGCGGTCTCCCATCTAAGTACTACCCACGCCCGATGTTGCTTAACTTCGGTGATCGGACGAGAACCGGTGTATTCAACATGGTATGATCGTTGACGACTAATTAATGTATTTTCATGTATATTAACTGATTAAATTTACAAGACGTATCAATGAATCATTAAATAATTAATCAACCACATGAATTTATCAAATAGCTCCTCTACTCACTTTGTAATCAACAACTGCATAAAAAGAGGTACTTTTCCATCGTGCCTCAAAACAGCTACAATAAAACCAATTTTTAAAACAGGAAACAAAACAGATCCAAATAATTACAGACCCATTACAATAACTAATACATTCTCCAAAATATATGAAAAAATAATTAAAGAAAGACTACTAAATTTGCTCATTCAAAAAATAGATAAACAACAATATGGTTTCCTACCTTCATCAAATACACAAGGTGCCCTAATAGATTTGACTAATACCATCAGTCAGCACCTTGAGGAAAATATGCATACAGCTGCAATTTTTATTGACTTACAAAAAGCTTTTGACACTGTAGATCATGGCATATTGCTCAATAAATTAATAGATTTGGGTGTAGTGGGTTTGTATTACAGCATAATTAAAGATTTTCTCGTGGAAAGGGTGGTAAGAACGAAGGTGGGAAATTTTACAAGTGGAGGACGTAGCATAACATGTGGAGTCCCACAAGGTTCTGTTTTAGGACCTTTATTATATCTGTTATATACCAATAACCTAAAAGATATAAAATTAAAGGGCAGTTACATACTATATGCAGACGATACTGCCATAGTATATGCAGATAAGGACAAAAAAAGGCTCGAAGATGCAATAAACACGGACATGAAAACATACACCGACTGGCTAACTGAAAATAAACTTACAATTAACATCAATAAAACAAAATACATATATTTCAAACATAAAAAAAATACCGAGAACACTAAACTAAATATTAAAGTAAATAATAGAGAAATAGAAAAAGTGGAAAGCATAAAATACTTAGGACTGATAATAAATGAAAAATTGACATGGACAGAACATATAAACAAAATAAAAAGAAAAATAGGAACATTAACAGGGGCATTGAAAAGAATCCACTCTTTCGGCAAAAAAAATAAAATACTAATTCTTAAAACGCAAATAATGCCTATAATTTTATATGGAATAACAACATGGAGCCAAACAACTAAAACTAACCTAAATGTATGTCATATACAGCGAATAATGAATAAAGCCACAAAAATAGCATATAATTTTCCACATCTAACACCCACCAAATACTTAGAGAGAGAAACAAATAATCATTCACTAAATAACATAATTAAAATAGAGAAATGCAAACTAATACACAAAATGAAATTTAACCGAATTAAAACAAGCGCAACAATAGACATAAATCAAGATATACATGAACACTACACTAGACAACACAACAATTTTCACATTAAACACAATAGAAAGAAGAATTTCAGAGAAAATGTCATATGGAGTGCTACCAAAATATATAACGAATTGCCAGACTATATTAAGATGATCAATGATGACGATAAATTTAAAAGAAAAACAAAAAAACCCTACAAGGAAATTGAAGACAAAGAAGACTGAAGAGATATATATATAAAGATATTTTTAATTAATTATATTAATGAAATAGATATTATAATATCTATATATAGTCAAATGAAATGTATATATTATATGAAAACTGTTATATGATATGATATGATTAATACTGAAATATGTTTTTCATAATCTCTCATACCAGGCAACTCTGCCTGACTAAGATATGAAAATAATGTATATATATATAAATAAAAAAAAAAAAAAAAAATGACCACAAGAAATATAATTTGAACATTTAGTTGCACTGAATGAAGGCTACGATTAAAAGCTAATCATAAAAACTCTAGAGTAATTTTTTGAAAAAATCGATGTTTTTTATGATAGTATAGTAGTAGCCCTATTATTAAGATATTAACATATATTACAAATATATTTTTCATTACTTACAATTAATTTGGACAAGCCACACAGCATCAGCAACACCCCACAAAGCAGCTACCAAACAAAACATGTAGGGCTGATGTGGACCAGGTCTCCATATCTGCATCCACACCATCAGACAACCTGTATTAAAATTACAATATCAGTGATACTTGCAATCACATTGGGAAATGGAACATACTTAAAATTTTATGTGATGGTTTATAATTAGTTACAAGAAAAACGCATTAGGCCTCATTCTACTTTCAGATAAGTTACTATGCGTTCGAACATTGGTAATTATTATACAGTAATCGCGGGGAATATGTTCCATAAAAAAGCTGGGAATAAAAAATCCCCAAATACAGGATGGCATCTTATATGGTGTTATAGGAGATACGTTCCAATATGACAAAATAAAAAAAAATCGTTGTAATTCACTGTTGAAAACAATTTAAGCCAATATTTGTGGAACTTTTTTTGGCGATGTATATCATGGTCTTATAGAACTTACTGAAATATTATGGCCTTACGACAAGTAGTTTAATTTCAAAAATTCATCAAAGTTTGAGAATATTAGTAGTTTTTTTGACATTTGTTAAAATTAAAATTAGACGATTTACTTGGTATAACGATAGAGTACTTGGTCTTAATGAGCATACTAAACCATTAAATCTACGGAAACTGGTTCAATTATAAAAAAATTTGTTGATTTGTGAAAATTTTCTTTTAGAAAATACTCCGAATTAACGTGTTGGCCGCCAATATATAGTATCAGTCTGTTGATCAGTTTTAGTAAGAATATTAACACCCACGAAATAAATGATCATAAATTTGATAAATAAGAGAAATCATCGGAATCTGTATGATTGTCATTCTGCCAATTTTTCACACATCATGAATGTTGCGTACATCACTTATCTCTTAATACAATAATTGTTGGTTTTCTATATAAAAAGCTAATAAATTTACCGTGAAGTATAAATGCAGCGACCATAACTGGAAATCGTCCAGTAATTTTGACAATGGATCCTGTGACCATCGCAGCAATTGCGTTTGCTACTCCGAAGCAAATCATGACGAAGCCAATGTTTCCTATTCCCCAAGCGCAGGCTACGAAAGACTGGTGATTAAAAGCATAAAGTTAATGAAAAATATATTAAAAATAATATGAGAAAATTGTGTGAGACATGTTCTGGTTTAGGCCAGAGTTTAGCTAGGAAGTTACAATTTTAATTGATTAACTATAATGAACATCCTAGTAGCAGCTTCTTTAATCACGTGAGGCTTAAATGGGGAGATGTGTTTGAACAAAATACGAATGATCACATAGGAGAAGGGGGACTAGTAAGATATCACGCACATTTATTCTTTATCTGAATTAAAAAAAAAAAAATTTTTTGGAAAGTTCCCAAAAATTTTTACGATTTTTTCTAAGTACTAAAAATGCATGTGGTGTCAGGTGGTGAGAGGAGCAGGGGATTAATTATAAATATCACCACTTATAATCAAGGTGAGAGAACGGTTCAAAAATTCTTAAAAATCCATCACATGATTAATGGACGCCTCCCTATCATCTTCTCCTCTTAGTTCAAAATAAACTGCACCATTTAGTTTTTCTAAGGCAAGTTACATATATAAATAATCAACCAAAATAAGAAATTTATATATTTAATTATGAGTAATTTATATATCGAGTTGCTGTCGGGCAGAAATAAAATATATCTAGCTATGGAAGAAAAATGAAAATCTTGAGTAAGAATTTTTATACATTCCATCATTTTTTATAATTTTGCTCTTTTAGAAAAAAATGCTAATAAAATCGATGCAAGATCAATAAAAATATCCTTCAATGTAAATTTACTTACGGCGTTGTAATCCGCAGCAATAAATGCTTGCTCGGCTCCTATGAACATAGTTATTGGCAATAATAAAATTTGATATCTGTTTCCAAGTTGTTTTACAGTAACTGCCAGTAATTTAAACCCGGACAAACCGGAGCCGCTTCCTTGCCTTCCTTTGTCATATCTGCAAAAATTCAGCTTATGAAGCAATTTCTTTGATACTTTTATGAGAAATTAATTTCAGCTCGGAACAAAACAAGATTATATAATGACTGAAAAGCATGGTCAAATAAATAATTAACTAGTTGGTATTGGTATTTTGCCTTGAGGAAAGTTACATGAACTTCCCGATATGTGTAAATAATCGACACTTAATCAATAAAAAATAAAATAATTTATGAGTTATTAAAAGTATTCCGAGTGGATTTATTACACATAACTGAAAACGAACGAACACTCTATCGTTGTACCAAGAAAATCGTCTAATTTTAATTTTAACAAACGTTATACAAACCATTTGTATAAACGTAATTCTTCTCATCTCTTAAATTACAGTTACAAAGAAATCATTAATTTCATAAAAAGTAATTCTATACAGTTTTAGAATCTTTTGTTCGTTATATTTCTTCTCTGTTCCTCTTTCCCCTTTCGTTTCTCACAACCAGCTCCCACTCCTTCACTACTCTTGCTTTGTAACCTTGATCAGTGTCCATAATGCACCGCTATTAATAACATAAAATATAGGAGAGCAATATGTACTCCTTCAATTTCTCGTTTGTTAATATAATAGTATATTATTATTTTACACAAATTTAGTCTTCAATCAATTTTACATCATAATTATTTTTTTCTGTTGTTTTTCCTGGTTTGGTATGTATAATTATCTTCTTTTTATACATTTATATTTATCATCAACTTTGTATTTAGATAATATGGTTTTTAGATTACTGAAGGAAGACACGCATCAAGTGTCGAAACGTTTAATGGAATAAATAATTTTGTTATTTAATCTTTTTTTAATTCGACGTTTGGGCTGCAAAAATATTACAAATATATATATATATATATATATATATATATATATATATTTATATTATATTATATTATATGTATATAATACATGTACATGTATGTATATAATATGAATGTCTATTATATCAATAAATAGAACACGGAGGGTTAAATATGTTGTTCTTCGGCTCTCTCCTAGTTTCGATTTAAAATCCTTACTTCATTTTATATAAAGAAGCATGTGCACTGCCGTCCTAATATTGTTCCGAAAGTAAGCCTTATATCTGTCGGATTCCCTGAGCCTGGGTGTTAACGTTTTTCTGCACATAATGTGTTTGAATAGCCCACAAAAAATCTTTTGTATGGCACCCTCTCCTTATATTATAGAAAGCTAGAGAATATCTCTTTACCGACTTGGAACGGACCATATAATAATAGATTGAAGCAATATTATTTCGGTTGCGTTAGAAAAACATTCGGTTATGAAGTTTTAACGGTTTTTTATGATATTTTTAGAAGAACAATTATAAATTTAGTTGTGAGCATAAATATTCATCTAATATTCATTTATTTGTTATTTACCTGGATAGCGGATCCACAAAAACTGCTATTATCAAACAAGCTAAAACCATAAAAGATAGATAAATGCCAGCTATCAAATGAATTTTGCTTTCTTCTGGGGGTTGGAGGTTTGGATTTACCTAAAAATATTTGAAAAATTATTGTCATCTAATTGAACACTTGTTATAGTAACTATTATTACTTACTTCTGCTTCCGTAGTTCCTGGATAAAAATTAGCTCCACAAGAATCAGCTATTTTCTGCGTGATATTGTCATCAAAATTTTCAGCGTATGTAGTATTCAAATCAGGGACTGCGTCACCAATTGATGTCAGAACTAAAATAGTTATTTATAAAATTTTAAATATCACGAATACACGTTTCTAAGCATTTAAAAATAAAATTACCTGCAGATGACACCAAATTTCCCCAAACTTGCGCCATTTGGTAAAACATGAAGAATATGCCAAAGAATCTCACCACGATTACTTCAGCCTTTCCTCCATTATACCTTTAATTGATAAAAAACTCAAACTTTCTAATTATCAAGATTATAATAAACATATTTGAGTCATTGCAATAATATTTGTTATGCTAATAATGAAATATTCAGATGTTCTAATAGTTAAGCATGTTTGTGATATTAATTACCTAAGTTATTTTTTGCTTAGTTGTAATCAAGTTATAATGTTATAATGAGATGTTCGTGAGCTGAAATACATTCTATGCTAATCATCGAAAGAAAATTTCCATTACAACAAACACCGTTCACACAGTACCTCAAAGGATTTTTTTTAGTTGAAAAAATTATAACAATATATTTTTGGATGGGTATCTCATGTCACAACCTTTCATCATATGTAGATTATTATTTTTGATTAATTTTTTTATTTGAATTTATTTTGCTACTCTTATGTTACTTCTTCCGGTTTAAGGCGATTTTTAATTTATTTTGTTTCATTTTACTCAGAAATTTACACATGGCTATATGTATATATATATATATATATATATATATTAGGGTGGACCTTCATATGGACATTTTCGAATTTCCTTGCTCCCAAGGGCTCAAATGGTTCCAAATTGATAAAAAACAATTCTCTGAAAGTTTTAGCTCTTAATATTAACTCTTAGATAGTGCGCAATTCAATCAAACTTCGTATGTAAATAGCATGGAAAAATTTTTGAAAATTAAATAACAATTTTTTTTAGGTATAACTTCGCTAAATTTTTAAAACATTTTTAAAATTTTTCATGCTATTTCCATACAAAACTTTGATTGAATTGTGCACTATCTAAAAGACAATATCAAGAGTTAAAACTTTGAGAGAATTGTTTTTTATCAATTTGGAACCATTTGAGCGCTTGGGAGCAAGCAAATATAATTTGTCAATAGACGCATGTTTGAACCCGTTGTAGTTCTATTATTATTATGATAATTTTATTTACCCATTTCAGAAATAACTTACTTTGCAAAATGGGCAGCCGCAACTGTGAGATAAGTGCATTTGGCGCACCACAATGGGCCGCCTCCCAAACCGACCAAGGCACCAGCTGGTAGCAAGGAGCCGACACTTGGGAAAAATTGGGCGCATATGAAGGGCATGTATGCGATCAGGGACACGCACATTGCCCATTTGCAGCCAAGCCATCTGAAATGAATAAAAAAATAAGAAACTAGTATCACAATTATACAGGTATGTGATATCAGAATATTTTATGAATTTAAGTATATTTTGTTTTGTTAAAACAAAATTGCTATTTTTGTGGCATTCACTTGTTCAGAGTGCAGAATCTTTGTGTGGTAATAGAAAAATTATTATCAATATTGATTTATTGTAATGATTTTTTCAACGAAGGGCGAAAGGAAAAATGGAAATTAAAAAAAAATACCAAAAGCAATCGTTTCGTCAACACAAGCAGGAAGTTTATTGAATCATTCAAATCGGATGCTTATTTATCTCAAAAACTGCCATTTTTTTGCACTGGAAAGAAGACTGGGCCTTTCTTTGCCAAAATCTAATCACCACTTCTCCCTGTTACGAATTGAATGTTTTTTAAATCATTCAACTCGGATGCTCCGTTCTCTCAAAAACTTGTTTTCTGTTTTCTGCACTCTTTGCATCGTATCTCCAAAACGGATAGACCTGCCTTTGCGAAAAACTGATCAGCACATCTCCCTATCAATAGGAATCGAATGTTTTTTGAACCATTTAAATCGGTTGATCCATACGTCTAAAAACGTGGATAAAAATTGTATCCACACATACATACACACACACATTTTTTTCTGAGGTATGCCAAAATGTTCAGAAACCTTCAAAACGTGAAGAAATGTAAAAATTTTCAATTTCAGAAGTTAGAAAATCAACTTTAAAATAATCTGAATCTACGCATTTTTTTACAAACTTTGAACTAAAAAATTGTATATGGAAATTGAAATAAATCTTATGAAATTAAAAAAAATATATATAATATTTAATAGACTCAACATTTTTAAATTACGTGAAATAGATCTTGAAAAAAAATCGTAAAAAATTTGATAATTTTTCAAGAATGTCAGTCTTATAATACATAAGTTAGTTTGATTGTTATAAATAATTATTACTGATGTTTATTTTATATGCAATTAAAATTTATTGTTTTTAAATATAAATGGCAATAACATTCAAAATAAAAAAAAAGATTTAGTTAAAAAAAAGAAACTAAATATAAATTGTAAATACAATATATTACATATTAATTATGCATCTTATTGTTAAAAATGTAGAAATAATATGAGAATTAAAAGAGAAAAACGTTGTAAAAAATAAAATTTTAATTAATAATAGAATACGAATAAAATAATCAGTGATACGACAAAAAAAATATAAATTAATGAATTAGCATATAAATAAATCAGCACCTGATATATAATTAGTTTTTTTGCGCAAAGAACAGAATTATTAATGAATCTGGTTTCCATTGCAACATAATTATGCGATTATAACTGCATATATTGATTGCATAAAAATATTAATACAAAGAATGAAACTAGATTGTTATTTCTATCCAAGAGAACAGAATTATATTATTATTATTCCATGAGAAGATCTAATCTAAAATTTACCAGTATGGTAATTTTGAGTTTTGCGTTAAAATATTAAGAATTATAATTAAATTTAATTAAGCTGGAGATATAAATAAATCACATGATTACGTATGAGCATACAAGAATATATATTTTAATTTAATTCCGATAGATTGATTAGATTTTGCATATTTAGACATTGTTTGGTTTTACAACTCAGTAACTACTTTGGTAATATAAACTTGTATTTTTAGTGATAACATAAATAGAATAGGTTAAAAGCTAGCTTATTTATATCCAATATATAAGAAGGGAGTTAATTTATATCTTATAAAGCATATTGCGTAATTGAGAAGTAAGATATAATCATAATTGATACCTTGAGGATATAGGCGCAGATAAAATCATTGTTTACAAAACGTTTACAAATAGTATTCTTATGATATTATCTTTAAACAGCAATTATTTTTATTGTTTCCTATATTTTATCGTAAATTATTTGTTCTCAGCACGTGGTTTATGATTAAATTATTCGCATTTTATTAAATGCAAATAAATGCTGGAGAGCTGAATAATATTCTCCTGCTAGTCAAATACAACTTAATCAAGCAAAAAATCAACTTCACTCATTTTTTTCTGGGCAATCGTTTTACTATTTGATAACAAAAGAGCAATAAAAATTAGTGTATGTATATAATGAAAAGAATTATCTGCTTTGGCAGAAAATCGATGAAAAAATGGTTCTTGGACTGACAAATAAAAAGATGCAAATCGTTGTCTAAAATATCAATCAAAATTTAAATTTAAAAATTCAAGAATGGCACAGACTTAAGAGTGAAAGACATATTAAAAAATTTGTTGCCTCGGATGAGCTGCATCTTGTTTATCTAATTTTTAAAAATATTTTGTAACAAAGTAATCATTAACACTAAGTGCTTTATTCCTCCAATAATAAATTATTCACAAGTTATATGTTGTTTAATATGTATAAGTGTTAATTAACATTAATTTGAACGTTATTTCAACGTTAATTTGAATCATCTAAAAAACATTCAATTTGTAATGATTGGGAGAAGAGGTAATTAGTTTTTGACAAAGGTAGGTCCAGCCAAATGTGCAAAAAATGGCAGTTTTTGAGAGAACTAAACGTCCGATTTGAATGATTCAAAAAAATTCTGCTTGTTTTACCAAAATAATTGCTTTTGGAAAAAAAAATTTTAGTTTCAATTTTTTTTCTTCAAAAAAAAATTCTCTTGTGTATCGAAAATATTTCAGATTTTAATTTTAATTCTGACTAAAAGTCTAACATACTTTAAACAAATATTTTCAACTTTGCAATTCAGTTTATATAATTCTTATAAATATTAGACAATGTTACAGTATTTACAATAATTTATTTGAAAATATTCAATATTCCTCGAACATTTGATACGGTACGGGAAGTTCCAGCAATTTGCCTCAAGGTAGTTTTCTACCCTGTGGTATTCTACATTTTCGACATTTGTTTAAATTGCGACAAATAAAAATAATTGAAATAACAAGATGTACATGTAACAAAAGGTGCTTTTATTAACTTCCCGTAGGGCAAGTTATAGTAATCGCAAAAAAGTAAAAAATGAATTTTTTTATATATCTTTACCTTTTCAAAACTTTCTGAACCTTTTGGCATACCTTAGAAAAAATGAATGTATGTATGTGTGTGTGTCTGTGCGTGTAAGTGTGTGTTTGGATACAAATTTTCGTCGACGATTTCGGGAACACGCATGTAGCGATTTGAATAATTCAAAAAACATTCAATTCGTATCGATAAGGAGACGTGCTGATTGGTTTTTGGCGATGACAGGTCCAGCCGTTCCGAAGATATGAGGCAAAAAGTGCCAAAAACGGTAACTCAGTTTTTAAAAAGTCTTTTTTTTTTCAAAATAATGTAAATTTTTGTCAAAAAATCATAGTTTCTCAAAAATCTAATTTTTTCAGAGTAATTTTTTTTCAAAAATGTTAATCTTTGTTAAAAAAAAAAAGTTTGGTAAGGGAAGTTTCAGCAATTAGCCTTAAGGCACGATGCCATGCGCCCCACTAGTAATAATTTATTTTTAATAACGTGGTTTTTTAATAATCTATTTTTATTATTATCCATCACCCACAGCAAAATGCCACTTACACTAGTTTATTTAATTTAAATAAAATCGTTGCGCAAAATATTGAAATTCTTTTTATATCGCGCGTTAGATTCAAGTGCGATATTTTGAATTCAATTTAAAATTAGTGCCTTTTGTGTGGTGACGTCACACTTTATATTTTTGCTTATCTGTGGCAACCCCTAGATAAGGACAAATGACCTTCAAAAATAATGCAAATTTAGTTGTTGCAAGTCTCTCGAAGTGACCGCATCGTTCATTGGGTGCGTTCGTTTTGCCGCCGTGCGTTTTCGTCCGAGTCTAATATTGTCGCCGCGTGTATTTGTGGTTTTACCTAAGATATTTGCGAATAAAATGGTAAGTTTTAGATTTAACTTATTAGTTGTTGCTATACATTCAACCCTGCTATAACGCGGTTAGTGTGTACCGTATAATATGCAAAGGTACAAAACAGATTATGTCGTAGCTCATTGTACAGAAACAGGAACCGCGCCATAAGCAACTCGGAGTTAGTACAAATCACATCATTTGTGTGGTGTTACATCATGTAACTTTCATTGGAAACCAATTTATACGAAAGATAGGATAAATTATAAATTGTTTTTATTGAATAGAAGGGTTCATATAAGGGCATGACGAAAACGGAACAACAACTAAATTAACCCTGTATGGACTCGCGTAACTTTCAGAGCACATCAGACCAAACTGGGCACGATGCCATGGGGCGCAAAACATTTATGAAAAAAATTTACTCTGAAAAAATTAGTGATAGTAATTACTATAAATTTTTTTTTGAAAAAAAAAGACATTTTGAAGAAAAAATTATTTTGAAATATTTTGGAAATTCTGAACTTTTTTTCAAAGCAATCGTACTGCTTTAACTGCATAGAGACGAAATATCGAAGCGCGTAAGCGCCGCACCGTCTTCTAACGGATAAACATTGGTATGGAACCCATAGGAATGTAAACAAAATTTATACTTATTGTTAAAATGTCTATAAAATATCGGATAATTTGATGTGCATATGTCTAATGATCATTTTTGACCGACAGATGGCATTTTTTTAAACATTTTTTTACTAGATCTCCGAAACCGCTAGACCAGCTTCATGAAAATTTGATCAGTTCCTCATCTTGTTAATACAAGTAAAATGTTTTTTGAATTATTCAAATCGCTTCATCCGTGTTCCCGAAATCGTCGACCAAAATTTGTATTTGCACACACATACACACGCACGCACACACATACATACACACACACACATCCATTTTTTCTGAAGTATGTCAAAATATTCAGAAACCTCTGAAACGTAAAGATATATAAAAATTTTCATTTTCGTTTTTTTGCGATTACTATATAACTTTCCCTACGGGAAGTTAAAAATATTTCCATATTTATCATGAGTAAGTTTTCAACTAGTCTCCACATTACAAAAATTGCGAATTTGCACTGGTTAACCTTCTGATAAACAACCAAAAGATTTATTGAATATTATATTAAACGATATTGTATGTATTCATCATTTAATTAAAGTGTAACTTGTATTATTAGAGCCCATTATTTTTACGACCATCTCATCTTGTCTAACAGTTATCACTAATTACGTTACAATAAGTAACATAAATTATACCTATGATATAATAGATAGAATAAAAAAATATGTCATAAAATTTAATCACAATCGATTGCATAAAAACACAATTATTAAAATTTTTGTATATTCCTTTTCTAAATTATTACATAAAAGATTTTTTAAGGTGTGGTGCATTTTTGACATCAAAATTGATGGTTAAAATTTTGTTTTGTTCAGACAGTGGTCTATGAATCTTTTCACATAAAATGACAATCAACAGATAATGCGTGGGATTATTGTGAACTTATCTCATACAAGATTTTCACTATAACAACAATAATGATATTGAGGCTAAAGTATAACTGCTGTTCGAATGAAATGGTTAAAATCCGGTAAAAATCGGAATAGAATCTTGCTCGAACCAAATGCACCAGAATATGCTATTGTTGACATCACGTATCATCTGTTCTTTTACATACAACTTTGTAATATTAATATGATCCAAGTTCCAATCAACAATTGAGCAGTTTGGAGTTAGGTACATTGAATAAGTACACAACATTATAATTATGTTAAAATTCAAGATTAGGAAATAAATAATAAAATCAGTAAATTTACTTGTACCTATAACATCGCACAATCGAAAAAGTTGTCTAAAAAGTCTCTGAACTCTGAACAACATGTCTCCAATTTAGTAAAATTCTACTCGAAAACTTCTAAAAATAAGTTCAAGACAATTCAAATGGAACGAACTGGATATCTCAGTAAATAATAACATGGAGTTATATTTGAAACACTATCTAACCTTATGACCAGCACTGGTAGAAACAGATTACTAAATATTAGAGATCCATAAATCGCAGCCAAAGTGTAGGTTCCTGAGTGTTTTGCATTGACACTGCTCTGCAAATTGGCAGCTCCGTGGAATGCAGTGAAGTGCACCATGAAGGCGACACCAACGGCTAAAACGTTCTTTATCACACGCCGTTTTTCCGAGGACGCCACTGTTTTGTCTACATCGTCCATGTGATTATCCATCTGTAAGGGAAAAAAAACTATTTCAGTAATGAATATTATAAAGGTGGAAGTGGGCACAGTTTTGTAAGAATCGATCCAGAATTGAAAGTCCATCTACCCATGCCCATGGTACACCCTGGGACCTCCCTTTCAAGGTCCACCATACAGAACCTGTATTACTTTTGGTACTTTACATGACAAAAATGAGCGACTTGTTAACTTCCCGTGGGGTAGTTATAGAAATGGGCCAAAGATCGAAAACAAAGATTTTTGCAATTCTCGACGTTTTGAAGGTTTTTGAACATTTTGGCATACCTCAGGAAAAATGTATGTGTGTGTGTGTGTTTTGCATGTCCGCATTTTTTCATCCACGTTTTCAGGCGCACGGATCAACCGATTTGAATGGTTCAAAAAAAAAATTGATTCCTATTGATAGGAAGATGTGCTGATTAGTTTTTGGCAAAGGCAGGTCCAGCCGTTACGGAGATACTAAGCAAAGAGTGCAAAAAATTCAAATCGAGTTTTTGGAAGAACGGAGAATCCGATTTGAATGATGTAAAAAACATTTGTAATAATTGGGAGAAGAGGTGATTAGTTTTTGGCAAAGACAGGTTTGGCCATTTCGAAGATACAGAGACTGCTCGTTAAAATGTTTCTATTGTCATCCATAAATATCTATATGTAATATATTTCTAGTTTACTATTATTGGCATGTGCGTGAATCAGTGCGATTATAAAAATGACATAAAGGTTTTAATTATTCATAAAATAATTTGTATGATACAATAATTGTATCATAAGATTACGTAAAGACATATGTGACACGTACAAACAAATTAAAAATTCTTTTGACATTTGTTGATATAATAATTAACAAATACACGCATATAAATGCAGGCAAATGCACTAGAAACATTTGCTAATATAATCATAGATATTTAAATATCTAGTTTCTTGTTGCTGACATTGAGAAAAAATTATTGTTACTTATGTATTAAAATATTTCACAATTTCTACACAATTACCATTTTATGGAAATAAGAATTATAATCATATAGTAATCACAATTATTTTAATAATTGATTGTGATTTGAAAAAATTGCTGATGAGTTTTTAAGTTAACAGGTTTTATCTACTTTGTAGATTGTAGAATATTTTCTTTATTACAATTGTTTTGCACAGCAATCAAAACTTAAGAGTCCAATAAGTAATTGGGCTAAGTTGACCTAATACTACGTCGGTTTTACAGATGGCAACCTAAACGGTTGCCTCTTCTCTTTGTGATAAATTTGATTTTTACAATTTCTGTGATAGGGCAAATATTGTATTGATGCAGCAATGCCGGATGAAGTCACTGATCAAAGCTTTCCATAATTTCCATGTGAAAACCGAAGTTACTACTGCTTGACATCCTGCTTCTCAGAGCGGGATCGACCCGTATGAGAGCGAATGACGAACAGTTCGGGCGTAACGCAATTTCCGTTGCAGTTTTACAGATTCACTCCCTAGCCGCACCTAAGGAAGTTTTACTTCAAAAATAGAAAAATATAACTTCAATCTCTCTATCTAGAACACTTAACAAGCTGGTCAGAAATTGAAAATAAATTTCAATTAATATTTATTATGATATAAAGTATCATCTAAAAGAAACCAATAAACTTTCCAATAAACTGAAATCCACTGATAATATTTTTAATATAACCATATAAATATTTATATCAAATTCTATCACTATATATCGTAATAAAGTTTATTACGAGATCTACGGACAACGCCCACCTATAAATCAGTCGGCATGAAGAATAAAACACCAGAATAAAAAACAATTATATTTTACAATGCCTTTGATTTATGAACTGAAATGTAATAAACTGGATACAGTTTCGAAATAAACTCATATTAATTGAGTAATAAATAATTTGTCATGAAATATGTAAAGGTAATTGCTAATTAGTCATATGCACTTGATCTTGTGCACATGCTTGCATATTACGCAGTCAGGTAATTTAATCAGAGTTCCTTTACACGGATGCGAAAATACATAATTTTATAAATAGAAGATTATACTATTTTAATTCATTTATCTAATTTTCTTCGATAAAGTAATCTGTTTTCACATTTGTTGATTTTAGTTTGCGATCAAATATCCATCCTTGTCCCTTCATCTTCGACACTTAAGATTTGTTTTCAAATATTTCTGTAAATATTCACATGTTTAGTACTGTGTCAAGCATTGTAAGAGATAATTGGTGTTTTTTGATTTTTCAAAAATTAAACATAATTTAAACTAGTTGGTATTGGTATTTGGCTTTGAGGCAAGTTACACGAACGTCCCGTTATGTGTGAATAAACGACTTAATCAATAAAAAATAAATCAATTTATGATACTGATCAGTTTTAGGTGAAAATCTATCGAGCCGATAAAAATTAAGCCGATTTTTATAGAACTTTTTTTGGCGATATATCATGGTCTTATAGAACTTACTGAAATATTACGGCCTTACGACAAGTAGTGTAATTTTAAAAACTTATCAAAGTTTGAGAAAATGAGCAGTTTTTTGACGTTTGTTAAAATTAAAATTAGACGATTTTCTTGGTATAACGATAGAGTACTTGGTCTTAATGAACATACTAAACCAATAAAGTCCTACGGAAGGTAGTTCAATTATAAAAATTATTGATTTGTGGAAATTTGCTTTTAGAAAATACTCCAAGATAACGTGTTTGTTCGTTTTCAATTATGTGTAATAAATCCAATCAGAATACTATTAATAACTCATAAATTAATTTATTTTTTATTGATTAAGTCGATTATTTACACATTTCGGGAAGTTCATATTACTTGCCCCAAAGCAAAATACCAATACCAACTAGTTTTTTTGTATTTTTTGATTACATAAACACGATTAATTGCCTTAACGAATATGTTCCGTTTTATACTTCACATATCACAATTTTCAATTTTATAATTCACCGGTTATATTGTTCTCTAACATGATCCTTTACCACGTAGTGGGTAGTAAAAATGAATTATATGTACTGTACATAAGGTGTATATGATATAGTACGGTATTGTTAATCTAAAGAAATTTATGATAGCAATCTACATAACGCAAATTCTTTAATAACCGCCGGAGTGAAGGGAACCAATATCATTTATGAAGGGAAACGGGTGTAAAGTTAACTGTTTTTTATAACAGAAAATAGCATCTTCAAAACGTTGATTATAAATTAATAGATGACTAGAGGTGCATGGCATCGTGCCTTAAGGCATAATGCTGGAACTTTAACTTTTGGCCGGCTTTAACATTTTTTGCAAAAAAAAGATCAATTTTTGTTTCATTTTAAACTTTAATAAAGTTCTAAAGCTCACTTATATACTTTAAATATGAATTTTAACTTCAGTTTATATAATTCTGATAAATATTAGACAATGTCACAATATTTATATTAATCTATTTGAAAACATTTAATATTCTTCGAACACTTCGTTGGGTACAAGAAGTTCCAGCAATTTGCCTTAAGGAAAGATGTCATACACCACTAGTTTGTTATTGTGTTGTCTGATTGCACCTCAAACAGGACAACCTTATAAAAAATTCAAATCATATCGTTTAATCCCGCATTCCCCTATGACCCACACCCACATTCAAAAATATACCTACGTAATATGTAAATATTTTTTATAGTTAAAAAAAATCGATACTGATCAGTTGTGTTAATTCAATGCCAAATTTTAAACAATAAACAATGACATTTCTATTTCTTTTTTTTGAATAGAGTGTTTGGATCTGATCACACTTTTTTAACATGCTTGTATCATTCATTACAAAAAAAGTTTTATTGCCAAATAAAATAAATACCAAAGATCATAAATAAAAATATTAATCTGCGATTTATAGTCATTTTATAATCTCGTTTTTTAGTTTTATTAGAGGATTATAGAAAAACATATAATATTGTGAATTAGTAAATAATGTGAACAAAAAAGTTGATTAAAATGGACTCAATTCGCTAATTGTTACATTTTGCAGATGGAAAGATAAAAAGGATACTCCGGCAATTAAGTAATAAAAACTTGCGTCAATGTCACGAGAGTTTATTTTTTACTGCCAGAATAAATTACTGTGAATAAGACGTTTTTTTTTAAAAGATCTCAAAAAATATAATCTTGGCCAAAGTTCCAATTCGTTAATTTAAATTTTAAGTAAGTCAATACAATAAACAACGATATTTTTTTTGTTATATTGTTTGGACTTGATCGCATTGGTATAAAACCAATATTTTTTTTTATTTTACCATATAATTTACTACTGTCTTTATTCGACATCTAGTAAATTTAAAGATAATATAATTAGATTACATATGACAAATAATTTGACAATAGTAGAAGTAGCCAGTGTTACTTCTATTTCAAAAAACTATAATAATCCAAGATAAGATTATTAACATTAATATAATAGAGAACTAATATTACAAAACAAAATACTACAAACAAAAAATTATCATCTACATTTATCGATATTTCGAAAATTAGTAATATATTTTTATTGCTACTCAATTGCATGTGTATATTATCTTTTGTCGGACGTCCATAAATTTTTATTTTGTACCAGTATTTCATAGAAATATTCTAAAGTCAAAAAATTTATCAATTTTTTATAGTTTTTGTTATATTAAAAATTCCAGATCTTGTTTCAAATGTTACATTTTAAGTAATTTTTGAAAATTAAAAATTGCAATTTCTTCTCTTTATATTTAATTTTTTATCTATTTGATATGAATTAATATTACAGCAGATATGATTAATTAATAAGATTCATTGTTAGATTCACATAGAACGGTTTTTTTCTTAACCACAAGTAGCATGATATTGTGGACACTTTTTTCTTATTGAATATAAATGGGTAAATCCATAGATTACGCATTTGTTTACACAGTAGTTTTGAAAATTAAAAATTATAACAACAAGAAATAAGAATCGTTAACGATTTAGGTTTCGAGTAAATAATTAATTTGGTAAAATAATCACAAATGAGAAACTTTAGAATAAAAGTCGGATATAAGAAAAACTCATGAAAATTTTGGAGAAAATGTTTGCTAAGTGGATGTTTGTAATATTTTAAAAAATAAATATCAATAGTAAATAATAATATTAATGTTATTAGTAAATCCTAATGACTGTGAATGTGAAATGTGAAAAGGCGGTAAAATTATCTGAGGAATAACATGGAAAAATGAAAAATTCATTTTTTAGAAATTAGGACTTATTCATCATAATCAAGCGCAAAATTTCAACTATGCTTTTAGCAGTTGTGAATTATACATGATAAAAAATCCTAGATAAATAAATATAAAAATATCTAAAAAATGCCGGATGAATAATTTCTAACCAGAATTTACTTTGTATAAAATTAGCTAGTAAATTGGTATATTATTATTAACTTTTCGTAGGGTAAGTTATAGCAATCGCAAAAAAATCGAGATTTTTTTTTTGCATATCTTTGTGTTTTAAGGTTTTCCGAACTTTAAGGTTAGAAAAAAACGGATATATGTGCAGATACAAATTCAAACAGCGTTCTATTCCTATTAATGGGAAGATGTGCTGATTTTTCGGCAAAGGCAGATCTTGCGGTTTGGAAGATCCAATAAAAAACGATACAATACAAAAAATTGCATTTGTCGGCCAAGAATGATCATTTGACATATGCACATCATATTATCAGATATTTTATAGAAACTTTAATAATAAGTACAAATTTTGTACAAATTTTGTTTACATTTCTATGGGTTCTGCACCAAGATTTATATTGTTTATCCGTAATACAACTCAGCGCTCTTTTTTTATCAAAAAAAGTATGAACCTTCAAAAATGTTCAAATTACGGTACTGAGAGTTCCAGAAGTTTGCCTTTAGGCATGATGCCATGCACCACTAGTTTAAGTAACTTCCCATAGGGTAAGTTATTGCAATCGTCCAAAAATCTAAATAGAAAATTTTTACATTTCTTCACGTTTTGAAGGTTTTTGAAAATTTTGGCATACTTAAGAAAAAATGGATGTGTGTGTGTGTATGTATGTAAGTATGGATACAATTTTTTGTCCACGTTTTCGGGCGCACGGATCAACCGATTTGAATGGTTCAAAAAACTTTCGATTCTTATTGATAGGGAGATATGCTGATTAGTTTTTAGCAAAGGCAGGTCCAGCCGTTTCGGAGATACGAAGCAAAAATGTAGAAAATAGAAATCGAGTTTTTGAGAGATCGGAGCATGGGATTTGAATGATCCAAAAAAAATATTCAATTCGTACTGAAGGGGAGAAGTGGTGATTAGTTTCTGGCAAAGGCAGGTCCAGCAATTTCGGAGATACAGAGCTAAATGTTAAAAAAATGGCAGTTTTTGAAAGAATTAAGCGTGCGATTTGAATGATCCAAAATACTTTCTGCTTGTTTTAACAAATTAATTGCTTTTGGAAAAAAAACTTGTTTCAATTTTTTTTTCAAAAAATATTTTTTTTTTGAATATCGAAAACAATTCAGATTTTAATTGTAATTCTGACTTAAGTTCTAACATATTTTAAAAAAATATTTTCAACTCTGCAATTCAGTTTAAATAATTCTTAAAAATATTAGACAATGTTATAGTATTTATTTATAATAATCTATTTGAAAACATTTAATATTTCTCGAACATTTCGTTACGGTACAGGAAGTTCCAGCAATTTTTTACATAATTTAAACATAAACAGTTTTTTACATAATTTGGAATATTTATGTACGTGTGTGAAAATTACTTACTTTGCAAAAATTGAGCTAATTCTGTATATAATTCTCAGGATCACTAACACACATTAAATATATCGATATTAAGTAAAAATTAAAAACAATTTATGATAAAATTTAAATTTAAACTAAAAATTATTTACTACTTTATTTACAATATAAAATTATTTCTAATAAGCACCGATTTTATCACAGAAGCAGTCATTTAACAATTGGCATTTTTTTTTAAATTTTGTCCACAGTCTATTAATGTTTGACACCTGACATTCAAATTTGTACTGGAGTCGTTTATCGAATGTCCAGGTACCACTTTAAAGAGACACTGCTTAACAGAATCTCGTTTTCTTCCTATTTAAATGGACATATGTGTTGGTTTATCATATAGGTGGGCACAAATGCGACCGACACAACAATAAACTTATTACAAACATGAATATAATCAAAGAGTGACATTTGTATGATAACAGAGAAAATTATAGTCGAGATCATTATTAATTTGTCACTACAAAGGGGTCAAACGAATTAAATCAACTACTAGGATAATGTGATTATTGGCCATTTGCTTATGTTTCACAATAGTATTGAAATAATATCTAATTGTTAGTATTTATAAATATGTACTTGCATTTTGATTTTTAACTTCCCGAAGGAGAAGTTTATGTTTTCATTAAAAAATCCGATTCGCTAATTTTATGTGTTCTCGAAGTTTCAAGCCATTCTGAATCGAATGAGACCAAATTTGGAAAAAGTATGTATGTGTGTGTGTGTGTGATAGATTTTTTGCCGTAAATCGACGTTTGCTAAAAAAACGGCTGTACCGATTTCAAAAATTTAAAAGTCGATGAGGACTATCGTTTGTCAGTTTTGCGCTACGATCGGCCGAACCGTTTCTTTGTAAATAGCAGAAAAGTAAAATTTTTCGTTCATTTTGAAAATTCAAAAACTGTTTGAAAGATATTGGTTGAAAATCTTGCTGATTAGTTTTTGGTAAAGATTTAGACGTTTTGTATGATTTTTTTTGACTGTAGATACCATAGTCTTATAGATCGTACTAAAATCTAACGGCCCTACGATAAGTCGTTTAATTTTAAAAATTCTTCAAAGTTTGTAAAAATTAGTATTGTTATTTTGGCATTTGCCAAAACTAGACCTTTCATCGACGTTTGATCAAAAACGCCTGAACCGATTTCAGAAATTTAAAAGCCAATTGATGTATCTCAATGAGTTTTTCAGTTTTGTGCAACGATCTGCCAAGCCGTTTTTTTGTTGTTTTTTTGTAATTTGGAATAAAGTGTTCAACTTTAACACTTAAGCTAAAGTTTAAGCCTAAGTTGGGAATGATACTGATTAGTTTTAGGTGAAAATACCGGCGGTTTTCTTGTAATTGACTGTTGAAAAATAATATATATATATATCATGGTCTTATAGAACCTACTGAAATATTATGACCTTTCGAAAAGTAGTTCATCAAAGTTTGAGACAATTAGTAGTTTTTTTGACGCTTGTTAAAATTAACATTAGACGAATTACTTGTTATAACGATAGAGTACTTGGTCTTAATGATCATACTAAACCAGTTTCTTACGAAAACTGGTTCAATTATAAAAATTGTTGGTTTTTGAAAATTTGCTTTTAGAATAAGACTCCGAGTTAACGTGTTTGTTCGTTTTCAATTATGTGTAATAAATCCACTCGGAATACTTTTAATCACTCATAAATTGATTTATTTTTTATTGATTAAGCCGATTATTCACACATATCGGGAAGTTCATGGAACTTGCTCAAAGCAAAATACCAATACCAACTTGTTTTCATTAGCCAAGTTAACTATTATAATTTCTACTTCTTTCTTTTATTTCTATGCAATTTTAAATCAACAATTCAAAATCTATTTAATTTTAACTCAAAGCCAAAGATCAACTCGAGGATCTCTGGTATGTATGTAAGTCATGCTTCTGTAAATTTTTATGGATGTTTTACTTAATAGTTTGTGATAATGGCATATACTAATGACAAAAACCTTTTATGGTCAAATAATATGTTATCAAATTTGAAAATTGACTTAATCCAGTTTTAACTATTACTTTAAATTGCAGATGCGTTGGATAAATTTACGCAATAAATCAACAAGACTTTGCACGTATCATGGTTAATTTATAATTATGGGCAATAAATTTTATAGTAGCTTCAAATGTCTAGTGCTATAATAAAATTTATTTTATTATTCTCACTGTCATTAATGATTAATGGTTAATATTAATGTGCACTTTGCTTACGAGCTAAAATTTGGTTTCATAAATGTCTCCTAGATTAACAGATTAAGTTTCAGAAGTGTTTGTTATTGTATACAGTTTTGTATGGTTTTACATTAGTATTTTGCCAAAATTTGTAAAACAAAACCGAATTTAAATTAAAGAAAAACTAATTATTATTTACTCGTAATTGGCAAGTCTATGAACAGAAAATTTGTTAAGTAAACTTTTGGAATAAAGGTCATGGAACGTTTGGAATATAAGTCATGTATAATAGTAATGCAGGACTTCCAAACAAGAAAATACTGATTTTTGGTAGTCTTTTTCATTTAGTCCATAGTGATTTTGATAATCTAAAAGAATGCCAATGCAATATTGAATTTTAAAATAATTCTCCGAAGTTGAACTATTTCATGATAGCATAAAAGTTTTCTTTATGGCAACGTATCGTCAATGATGTGAAATTGCATGTAGTTGCCATTTGCCATAAACTACGGTTCATTTAAGATGAATCAATGAATTCAGTTGGCAAACTAAGCAGAGTGAATGTTATGTTTTCGGATTGTAACTGCAAAACATAACGTAAAACTTTATTATACATATATATATATATATATATATGTATATAAATATTGGTTTTTGATAATTTCTAGCATTTCTTGTGATTTTTCCACAGCCCTTTCAAAGGACTTGCATTTGCCAACGGTCTCTTCACAAATATCAATAGGGCTCGAATGCTTCTTGAACCACATAATCGGATAATTCGTTCTTCTGGTAAGTCAGTAGAAATATAGTATCTAAAAATATAAACTTATAAAGTATTCTCGACATAAAAACACATATCCATTTACATCTAAACTTCACCAAAAATCCAAACGGATCAGCCGGTATTTGTTTTTTTTTGTTCATCCTACGAGAAGGTGAGTCTTGAAAATCGTTCTAGAAAGAGTCGGATAAATAAAATGTAGAAATTTCAATTGGAATAAATTCACATTTATATAAGACGTTCGATTTCTTTATTTGTTCGATCAATGCGACGCCGAAGCACATATGCAAAACCGATCCGTATTTTATACGTAAAATGCATCACTTTTCCGAATAAGATTTTTATATTAAAGTCACATATAAAATGATCTCACGGCACGCGATGTTGCTGACAGCCATATGAGAATACCAAATATTTATATTTTAATGTAAATGTGTTTTTGCAAACGCACGTGTACTAGGAAACTGGATATAAAACTAGAAGAACAAAGATTAATTTTAAGAATTATAATTTAATTTTCTTTTTTTTTCTATTTTCATCAGGATAGACGCCTGTTTGAACCCTTTTCCCAGGTTTAGATATTTGGCCTAGATATGTCAGGCCTAATACTTCCTAGTTTTTGTCTCCTGTCCTCGCGGTAACCGCCATTGGGCCTTACTTCATAGGGGGAGGATCTAGAATACTATTTTCTCTTCTAATTATACTTTCTTCCTAATTAGTGATACTCCTCTCTTTCTATATCCTAACATGTATTTGTGTGCATATATGTATGTTTATGCACATATTAGCTGTTCCGGATAATCCATTTTTCGTTCGTTGATAATTGATGATAAATCACTAGTTAAAAATAAATTATAGTGAGTTTGCAAGATGCTGTATATGAACAAAATAGGGGTAGTTAATACAGACAAACTAAATGGTTCAAGCACTCATCTGCAAAATTCCAAAACTATTTTATATATTTTAATTCTAATTAAAAGCATAAAGCAAAATTTTTATCAACGCAGTTTCAGAACATTTTTATATGATGAAAAAATATTTAAAGGATATTAGTTGGGATTTCTCTGGATTGATTTTTGGTTTTGGATTTTGATTTATTATTAACTTCAA